TTCGATCTTATTTGATAATAAAATATGTGATTTGCTCTGCTACGCTCTTGCTATTTATTGCTTTTTCAACCTTTTGGCGATTGTGCGAGTCATTGTTTCGGTTTCTAACATAATACATCTGCGTGCTTTAAACTGAGTTTTACAGTGGCCTCACTAAAGATCTTTTTTAAACAGAAGTCAACTTATTACTTATTCTTCATTAGTAGAGGATGCCTCGCCAGACTGCTATTCCCGGTTAGAAATTGTATTCATACACAGGACGTTCAACAGTTTTCCGGTAGAGCCATGCTACGAATAGTCTCGACCATCTTCAGGAAATGAATTAGAAAAATAATATAAAAAGCTTGATTTAGATATTTTTTGAAACAACAAAATCTCCCATACATAGCCGTAAAACGAATCTTAGTTCCACAACAAAAATAGATCCCTTGATCTTTCATTATATTTTGATCCAATCAGTTGTCATCTCTTAATTTGTTATTACGGTTGCTTTTGGAATAATTAGCAGTGGTATGCTACGCATTTAGCAGAGACCATGCACTTATCTATTCTAACTAGTAAGCCTAATTAATAAGACATGAAGACAATAGTGACCCTCGGTATGGTCGCAGTCTCTTTTCGATTTATAGAAGTAGGTTTATCTCGTTTTCGCCATTTGGCCTTGTTGTTAAGGCGTATTAGTCGAACGAACCTGGTCCGAAGTCCTCTGCCATAATTCACGGCATCAGACCGTGGACTTGGTACTTTCTCAGACGTTTCTCCGGCATCTTATTCGGCATCATCAGTGAGTCTTGCCATTATCAGCACCAAGCTAAAAACTCGTTAAAGAGACAAGTGAAATCAAGCCCTCGACCAACCTTCTTCTGAAACGGTTACACTATCACTCCTCTTTCTGTCCTGGCCCATCTATATACTTATTATCGTTTTATTAAACTCCCACTTTATCACAACTTCTGACTTGTTTATATTTCATCCGTAAAAAGAAGTGCCCTTTTTGGCAGATTTAATGTTGTCTCATCACACCTGCTATTCATCTTAGCCCCCTCTGTTTAGACCAGCTGATCCGACTCGGGCCTTTTATCCGAATCTCCCTCATAGTCCCGTAGATCCGTTTCT